TTCGGAGCCGTAGCCCAGTGTCTTGGGCGCCAATTCGAATCCCGACCAACACCTTCTCGGGGAAAAATAGCACCGCCGACCGAAACTCCCGTTCGCTAGACGCGAAGGGATTCCGCCCGTGACGCGAGAACCTTCCGAGAAACGCTCGACAGCCACCACATGGCATTTGTCGCCGTATCACGCGCCTAGAGCGTGCCGCCGCGTCACCGCGCCACACGCCAGCCGCGACCACCACCGCCCGCGTTACACGTTGCGACGCACCGCTCATCGTCCGCGTCACCCGCGGCGCGACTCACCGCGGACCTGTACATACGCTTGTAAATAGTTACGTTTAAGGAATACGCTTGTAAATAGTTATGTTTAAGGGAATAAATTCATAGTGTAATTATCCGAGAAATACACGTCTCGTTATTACCCAGGACCCCTCCTTCCCTTCGCCTGAACCACTTTCGATTCCTGGACACGCCGGCGAGCTGATCCGCGATATCGAAGGGTAGGTCGTTTCATGGCGCCCGAACAGGGACCTGACCGGAGGAAGGAGGGTTCTCCGGAGATCCCGGAATGGATCTTAGGAACAAATACGGCCGACTTAATCGTCGAACTAGAGAGCCTCGGGTTAAGCGCGCAAGGTACCACCGCCGAACTACGCATCCGACTAAGCGACTACGTCCGCCGACACCCGGACGTGTTCCGCGCAGCGGCACCCCCGGTGCTCGTACGAGCCAAACCCCCGGCCCGCCTCACGCTCACCGCGACCCCGCTACCACCCGGCCCCGCTACGGCCCCGCAACTCCGGGCTCCCGCCGTCATGGTTGATCTAGGGTCGCCAAAAGTAGAGTTACCGCCTATACCCGGGGGGCCATTCGGCACGGAACCCCCGATCGCTAAAATCATTAACCAGATGCGGAAATGGGGCCTCCACTTTGAAGGGAAGGACCTATGGACATTTCTGGAACGGACGGCGGAACTAAAACTCGTGTACGAATTCACGGACCACCAAATGCTGCTCGGATTGCCGGAGCTGCTTAAAGGCGACGCGCTTCTGTGGTATCGCTAGGGACGACTGGGGGAGTTGGGGGGAATTCATCGCTGATTTTAAGACCGCATTTTTACCATACCGACATCGCACGCAACTCCAACACGAAATCCGAGACCGCGTACAGAAACCAGGGGAACCCTATCTAAAGTATGCAACCTCGCTGCTCACGCTAATGCGACGGGCGGGCGGATACTCCTCATACGATCAACTCGAGCAGCTATACGAGAATCTCCACCCTGGCTATCAGTTGCACATCCGGCGCCGGGATGTCCGCAGCTCCGCGGACCTGATGCTATACGCCGCGGAACTCGAGCAAATACAGGCCCGTCGGAAGACAACCCCGGTAGAAAAACCTGCACCACGCGAGATCGCAAATGTAGCTGCGACGTACGACCGGTCCGAATGCTGCTGACGGTGTAAGCAGCGGGGACACACGCGATTTGATTGCCGACGTCCGCCGCGAAAATTCTGTTCGCAATGTGGCAAAGACGGGGTGCTGACTCGGGACTGTCATCCCCCCGCGGGAAACGAGACCCGGGTCGGCGAGGCCCCGGCCACTCCCCGACCCTCCCCGTAGAATTCCTGCCCCGGCCGCACGCGACGATCCACCTCCAGGATCTTGCGATTACCGCACTGATTGATACGGGGTCCGAAATTTCCTTGATGAATGCGAGAACCGCGAAGCAAGCCGAGTCCCAAAACGGTGTCCGCCTGTCGGGAGATGGCTACGTGCTGTTAGCCGATGGCCGGGAAACCCGTATCCCCGGACACATCAGAGTACGGTTCCGACTTGCTGGAAAACACATCACACACACGTTCGCCATTATGCCAACGATGAAAAGCCAAGTGCTAATCGGGACGGACCTGTGGGCGAAACTCGGCACCGCGCTACCCCTCCCACCATCCCGACTACCACGCAGCTCCGCGCGCCGGACCGCCGCAATGGGGGGAATTACGCCGCGATCCACGAACGAGGACGCGCAACTCCAAGAATTCCTCACGACCGAACTGCCGTTGTTTGACGGGGTAACGGGCCCCACGGACCGGGCGCAGCACCATATTCGCCTGAAAGCGAACACCGCGCCCATCAAACAATGCTACCGGCCGCGAAACCCGGCCATGCAGGCTGTTATCGACGACGAAGTCGATAAAATGGTGCGCGAAGGGGTGATCGAAAAATCACATAGCGCGTGGAGTTCGCCCGTGGTGGTGGTGCGCAAAAAGGACGACAACTATCGCTTTTGTATAGATTTCCGGCGCGTCAACAGCGTGACCGAACCCGATGCCTACCCTTTGCCGCAGATCACCGCCACGCTGGATAAACTCCGGGGGGCTCGGTATCTCACCACACTAGACTTGAAAAGCGGGTACTGGCAGGTCCCTCTCTCACCGGAGAGCCGACCGATTACGGCCTTTACGGTACCGGGGAAGGGGATGTACCAGTTCGTAGTAATGCCGTTTGAGTTACACTCCGCGCCTTCGACTTTCCAACGGCTCCTGGACGCCGTCCTAGGGCCAGAACTAGAGCCACACGTGTTCGTATACCTAGACGACATAATCGTAATCAGCGACTCGTTCGACAAACACCTGCAGATACTGCGCGAAGTTTTCCGGCGCCTCCGACTCGCGAGATTACGTCTAAACCCCGAAAAATGTAAATTTTGCGTGGGAAGCCTAAAATATCTAGGGCACATCGTGGACCGTGAGAGTATCCGAACCGACCCGGAAAAGGTCGGGGCTGTTACCCACTGGCCGGTGCCACAGACCGTGAAGCAGATCCGGCAGTTCCTGGGGGTTGCATCGTGGTACCGCCGATTTATCCAAAATTTCGCGACCGTCGCGGCACCGCTAACCGCACTCACCCGCAAGAACACCCGGTGGCGATGGGGACCAGAGGAGTCCGCCGCGTTCGACACACTAAAAACCACCCTCACTACCGCACCGGTGCTTGCCTGTCCGGAATTCTCGCGGCGCTTCCATCTACAAACAGACGCTAGCACGTCGGGTTGGGGGCCGTGCTTACCCAATACTTCTCGGAGGGAGAGCGCGTTATTGCCTATGCGAGCCGAACGCTTAAGGGGAGATATACACCTAGCATGGTCGAAAAAATCGATTTTTTTTTGCATTTTCTTGAAGCTTGAGGTTTAAAAAATATCTGGTGAAAATTGCAAGTCAATATCTCGATAAATAACGAAGTTACAGCCGAAAACGGGGAGGGAGGGAGTGAGTCTCCGAGAGCGCGCCGTGCCGAGAGGCAGGTAGCGGCAAGCGACCCTTCGAAGAGAGCGTGTTACAAAAAAAAAGGGATATATTATTTTTTATTACAATTGTTTTGTTCTAATACGGCGCCGACAACAAAATTTAGAAGACATGAACATTCCGTCGACCGTAGAAGACTTATACTATGGGCCTGGTATCGATGATTCCATGTAAGTTGAAAAATTTCATAATTTATTCATTCCCAAATTTTCAAACGCGTTTTTCTCGAAACCACGTTTTTCAAATCGGTACCCAAAATTTCTCGAAAACCAATGAACCGTGTTTGGAGTTATGGAACTTTGAGTAATATTGAGTCGAGAGGTCTTTCAAAAAACATATATTTTAACACGGCTAATGAATGTCTTGATATGGTACAGGTATCTTACAGTTTAAGGCGCGAACACCTTACCGCGACGAGATCGGAAAGACTGCGTTCGAAGAACTGAGTTTACTCCCGCGGACCGAAGTCGGTTAAATTCTTTTGGCCTACGTCCTGGATTTTGTTTATGACGTGGATGTTTTTGCGGTAGTTGTTTACGGGGGAAGGGTCCGTAACAGCTGTCGAACAGGCGATAACTCGTCGTCCAATGGTACTTGTTTTTCGCGATCTTGGTTTTTGAACAACATGTTCAGCGGCGGTGTTGCGAGGGCGAGTTTCGAAACGCGTTAAGCGACATTTACCGCCCGCCTTGCCGCAAGATGTGCGGCAATGTTACAATGCCTAATGCGATAACGTTGGATCGTTTGACCGGATTACATCGTCCGACCGCTCTCGAGACTCGATCGGAAGAGGGCAAATTTTGGCAATCGGGCGTTGTAGGGTCGTGCTGGCGGTCTTGATCGTTACTACTCGAACAAGACCGTCGGTTCCCGGATGTACGTCGGTGATGCGCCCAAGTGGCCATTTCGCTGGAGGATAGCGCTCATCGAGAACGAGGACGATATCCCCCTTTTTGATTGCGTTGTTTCGTCGCTGCCACTTGGAGATGCCTTGTAGGCGTTGCAGGTATTCCGTTCCCCAACGTTGCCAGAATCGATCCACCATCTGTTTGATTGATTGCCATCGGGATAGTCGAGACTGAGCCACGTCGAGAAGCGATGGCTCGGGCGGGGTCACGATCGGCCCCCCTGTGAGGAAATGGCCAGGCGTAAGTGGCTCTAAGTCCTCCGGGTCATCCGAAAGGGGGCAGAGCGGCCTCGAATTTAGTATTGCCTCGACCTGTATGAGAAGAGTGATAAATTCCTCATAAGTAAGGAGTGTGAGACCGAGAATTCGGCGCAAGTGGAATTTAACCGATTTGACTGCTGCCTCCCACTTGCCACCGAAATGTGGAGCGCCTGGCGGATTGAAGCGCCACAGCGTGCCGTCGTTCGCCAAAGTATTGGAGAGCTCTCGCCAATCCTTAGAGGCGGCGGAGAATAATCGACGCAGCTCCGCATCCGCGCCGACGAGATTGGTTCCGCAGTCGCTGGTTATCGTAGCGCAAACTCCGCGGCGACCTGCAAATCGTCGGTAAGCCGCAAGAAATCCTGCTGTGCTGTAATCGGTTGCTACTTCAAGGTGCACGGCGGAAGTGGAAAAGCACACGAAGACGACCAGGTAGCCCTTGTATGTTTTAGCTGCCCGCCCGTGCCAGGTCTTCAATTGAAACGGTCCGGCGTAATCTACTCCAGCGTTGAGAAAGGGCCGAGAAGGAGAGACCCTCGTTTTCGGAAGCTGTCCCATTAGTTGTTGAGCAGTCTGAGCGCGTTGTCTGGCACATGGAATGCACCGGAGGATATGAGCTCTTACTGATGCTCGACCTCCGAGTATCCAAAACGACTGTCGTATGGTGGCAAGAGTTAGCTGAACCCCTCCATGAAGGGTTTGCCGATGAGCGTCCTTTATGACGAGAGCTGCGAGATGATTCTTAGGTGAGAGGATGGCCGGATGTTTAGCTTCCGTCTCGAGCGTTGAATTGCGCAAGCGTCCACCAACTCGAAGAGTCCCGTCGGCATCGAGAAATGGAGCCAGGCGAAGGAGACTGCTGGTGCGCGGAACTTCTTGGTGTCTCTCTAGACATTGGATTTCCGCGTCGAAGGTGAGCCTTTGTGAGTGCCTGGTCCAAAATTTGAGAGATTGAGAGAGTTCAGCCGGCCGGAGAGGAGTGTGAGCATCCAGGGGGGACCCGCGAGAGCGGAATCGAGCGGCTGCTCGCTTCACCCACGCAGTCACCCGTAGCAATCGTCGCAAGGTTGAGAATCTATCTGGAATCAGAGAGAAGTCAGAGGCTGTTGAGGATGCTGTCACGGGGACAGCGCGTGAGCGTTCCTCGAGATCCTCCTGTGGATCTGAGAGAGAGCGAGAAGCTGGCCATTTGGTGGAAGGTTGTCGTAACCATGGAGGTCCGTGCCACCAAATGGAGCACGACTGTAGAGCCTGTGGCGAAAGTCCTCGAGAAGCGACGTCGGCGGGATTGTTCTCGCCAGCGACATGAGTCCAGGTCGCTGATGGTACGAGTTCCTGGATCAGAGCGACTCTGTTTCGTACAAAGTCCTTCCACCGCGAGGGAGGTCCGGCGATCCAGGTGAGAGCGACGGTGGAGTCCGACCACAGAAAGAGAGGAGCGGATTGTAATTCGAGCACGTCCCGTATTCGCACGATTAGGCGAGCCAAGAGGACGGCAGCCGAGAGCTCTAGACGGGGGACTGTAGTAGGTTTGAGCGGAGCCACTCGGGTTTTAGCCGCCACTAAAGTCACGTGTATTTGGCCGTGTTCGTCACGGACCTTGAGATACACGCACGCGGCGAGGGCCTCTGTGGAGGCGTCCGAGAACCCGTGCAGCTCGATTGAGTCGGAGGTTAAAGATCCGCCGAACCATCGCGGTACTGAGATTGCCTCAATGCCCGGGAGCTCGTCATGAAACTTGTTCCACCGTTTCATTGCCGTCTTGGAAAGTGCGTCGTCCCAGCCGAGCTTCTCAGGCCACAACTGTTGAAAAAAGATCTTGGCAGTGATAATCACCGGACTCAGCCATCCCAGCGGATCGAAGAGACGGGCAATGACCGACAATACAGTGCGTTTGGTCCAGATCTGAGTTGAGTGAGCGCCACCGATACGGAAGACGAAGCGGTCCCGCTCCACGTGCCAGTGGAGCCCGAGAGCTCGAGAAACCGTCTCGTCGTCCATGGATAGCGAGGTGGTTCTGGTTCGTCGATTGGGTTCGATGGGATCCAACAACGCGTCGTCGTTAGCGATCCACTTCTGCAATTGAAATCCACCCGCCGTTAGCAGGGCGTCCAATTGTCGAATCTTCTCCTGGGCGTGCGGAATGGTGTCCGCGCCCGACAGTACATCGTCCACGTATATTTGCGTCTGTAGAATATCTCGAGCCAGCGGATATCGCGGTCCCACATCCGTCGCGAGTTGTTTCAGAACTCTGAGCGCGAGGTACGGGGCGCAGGCGAGACCGTAAGTGACGGTGCGAAGGCGGTACGCAATTGGCGCGGCAGTTGGCTCCGGAGCCCATAGAATTCTTTGGAAATCCCAGTCGCGAGAATCCACGAGTATCTGGCGGAACATCTTCTCGATGTCCGCAGAAAAGACGAACCGATGTCGCCGCCACAAGAGCATCACGTTCGCGAGATCCGTTTGTAACTTCGGCCCGGAATACAGAAAGTCGTTGAGCGAGCATCCAGTGTCCGTTTTCTGTGACCCGTTGAACACGACACGAAGTTTAGTGGTCACGCTGGTGTCGCGGAGAACCCCGTGATGTGGCAGGTAGAATGGTAAGTCCGGTTCTCGTTCGTTAGAGTGGACGCGGCTCATATGCTCCAACCCTTCGTACTCTTTGAGAAAGGCGTTATAGAGTCCGGCGAATTCGTCATTGAGTGCGCACCGACGTTGTACACGCGCTAGCGCGCGAATCGCGATTGACCGGGAGTTGCCGAAACTGGTCGGTAGTCGACGGAAGGGCAGTCTCACCACGTATCTGCCTGACGAGGTCCGGGAATGAGTATTGCGAAAATGTTCCTCGCAGCGCACTTCGTCCTCAGACAGCGGGGTAGCCGCTGGTGGCATCTCCTCTTGAGTCCAGAACTTCTCCACAAGTTCACTGAGGTGTCTGTCCGACGAGAGAGTTGAGTGAGCTAGACCTCGAGGAATAGCTCTCGAGATCGAGACTGGCCCGGACACTATCCACCCGAGCGCAGTTAATTGAGCCGTAGGGGTACCGATTGTACCTTGACGCAGGCCGTCGCGAAGTAATGATCCATATACGTCCGCGCCGAGGAGAAGGTCAACGCGTCCCGGGACGTTAAAGCTGGGATCGGCCAGAGAGATATTCCTCAAATGCGGCCACTCGGCGTTGCGAACCGCCGAGGAGGGGATCTGAGCGGTCAATCGCGGCAAAATGTACGCCGTGAGCCAACACGAGAAGGCCGGAGCAACGCACGAACGAATTTCGCAGTCGACCCTGCCTCGAGTAGTGTCCGATTTTTGAGCGCCGATGCCGATCAACGGGATCGCAGCACGTTTCCGCTCGAGCTTCAAAAGTTGCGCTAATGATTCCGTGATGAAGGTGAGCTCAGATCCCTGGTCCAAGAGCGCGCGCGCCACGACAGACTCTCCGCGGGGACCGACAACTCTCACGTTTGCGGTGGCTAGTAGCGCGAAATCGGAGGCTTGATTTTTTTCCGCACTGGATTTCACACACTCGTTCGCAGTCACGTCTACGCCGGCCGCGTGATGTACCAGGGAGGGTGGATTCGTGGAAACCGCGCCCCGCTCGGCGGATTCCGCATTGTCGGCTTGTCTTGCGGTCGTACCATGGATTGACGTATGATGCTTCTGTCCACACGTGAGGCATCTTTTAATCGTACGGCAAGCCGAAACGCGGTGAGGTCCGAGACAATTGAAACATAATTCCTTCTGCTCGATGATCTCGCGTCTTTGATGCGCGTTCTTGTCGCGGTATGTCGGACACGATGAGATGTAATGGTTGGCTCCGCAGAGCGAACATTTGAGAGGGGTTCCGATCGCGGCATGGCTTTTAGCGTTTGTCTTCACGGTTTTCGAGCTTTTGAGGTCGGATCCGGGAGAATTCGGGACTTCCGCGCGCCTTTCCACGGCATCGAGAACGCGAGTGCGTGAGAGAAGGAAATCCTCAAATTCCGAGAAAGTGTCGAGCGCCGTCGATTTGCCTTGATTGATCTCCCACGCGCGATGCGTTTTAGGATCGAGTAGTCTTTCCGCGAAGTACACTACGAGAGGATCCCAGGAGTCGGTTGTCGCACCGAGCAACTTTAAAGCGCTTAGAGTTTGTTTGAGAGTCGCGAGGAGCGTTTTAAGTTCGGATGCTGACTCCCGGGCGAGAGGTCGTATGGAGAAGATTGAGTCAAAGTGACCTTTCGCGAGTAGCCGTTTATTTTCGTAATGTGATTTCAGCGTTCTCCAGGCGATATCAAAATTCTCACCGGTTACCGGAAGATTAACAATGGATCGTTCGGCTTCGTCGGTAACATGTGTGCGAAGGTAGTGCAAACGTTCCACGTCCGATAATTGCGAGTTTGAGATAACCATTGAGTGGAACAGATCGCGGAAGGGGATCCATTCTGAGAAAAGCCCGGTGAACTTCGGCAAACTCACCTTGGGTAACGAACGAGAATGACCGCAGGAACTCGCGTTCAAGTTCGCGGACGCATTCGCCGGTGGCGGGACACTCAACTCGTCTATGATAGCCGCAAACGTGCCTGCAGCGTCGATGTAACTTTCTTCGCATTCCGCGTATAAATCTCCGGCGAAGTACTGATTCTTCGCGGTAGTGTCAGTTTTGAAATAGAGAAGCTCTTCATGATTTTCCTGGAATTTTCCCCAGTTGCTTTCCAGGATTCTTAAGCGAGCCTCTGTAGCCGTCTTGGTCTGTTTTTCCGCACCAAGTTTGTAGAGGTTCGCTACACTTCGCGTAATGAGTCCGAAGAGATGCATTTGTCGATCGACGAGTTGTTCTAATGTTAGAGACATCGTATTTGATCGTCGATAGGCGCGAAGTTGAGCGACACGGAGCGCGATTCAGTTGAGAGTTCAGATTTCGCGGAACGATGATCCGGCTCGAAGGACCAAAATGTTTGGAGTTATGGAACTTTGAGTAATATTGAGTCGAGAGGTCTTTCAAAAAACATATATTTTAACACGGCTAATGAATGTCTTGATATGGTACAGGTATCTTACAGTTTAAGGCGCGAACACCTTACCGCGACGAGATCGGAAAGACTGCCTTCGAAGAACTGACTTACTCCCGCGGACCGAAGTCGGTTAAATTCTTTTGGCCTACGTCCTGGATTTTGTTTATGACGTGGATGTTTTTGCGGTAGTTGTTTACGGGGGAAGGGTCCGTAACAGCTGTCGAACAGGCGATAACTCGTCGTCCAATGGTACTTGTTTTTCGCGATCTTGGTTTTTGAACAACATGTTCAGCGGCGGTGTTGCGAGGGCGAGTTTCGAAACGCGTTAAGCGACAGTTATCAAAAAATAACATCAACATACACATTTTCTCACCTTACAATTACCAAATGTTGTTAGAATTTAAGTCTTCTAATCTGATAAAACAAAAGAAAATATTATAACAACGTAAAACACAAAATTTGTAAATTATTTTCTGGGCT